TTGAAACCAAGCGAAAAATGAAGGTAATTAGGCAATCAATTCTATTAAAATGAAAATTAAATTTTAAAGCATAGCTTTTCGCCGGTGAACAATAAGCAAACCAAGTCCAGAAAAATCTCCTTTTTGTTGTACTTTCTTATTGCAACTCTTTATGGTAAGTAATGTGGTGAGGGATGGAAGCGAATAAGCAAAGCACTCCACTCATCCTACGATTCTTAACACAACCATCCTACGATTCTTAACACAACGTGATATGTAATCAATTACGAAAATTTTTGCTTTAAATCTGGCCTAAGAAAAATAAGTTTTCATTTAAGAAAGATAAATTGTGTGACCTTAGCTTTTTCAGAAGTTGTATTCTTTTCAGATTAAGCGCTTACTGCATCTACAGCGCTACGGAACACCCACATCGATACTCAATTCGTACATATTGGGATGCCTATGAACCAATGCTCGTGGCTGAGGCCCTTTTTGCCGTAGGGAATGTGTTCAGGTGAGTTGGGAAAATCCTCATTTTTTCATTTATTTGTAAGCGAATGTTTAAGTTTTGCACGCATCATCTACCTGTTCCAAACAAATCCTTACCTCGGGCCACTGCAGGTGAGAAGCGCTTTTATCATATAATTCAACCCAACAAGCATACCTTTTAGATCTCGTTAGGATGTATGTTAGTTGATGTCGCCAAGTTCTGTTTCATATTCGTCCTAATAATTAGCAGCTTCAGCATCGGTTTGGCACAGTTATATTGGTGAGCTTTTCCCACTCATCCAACCTTGATTTCTAAAGAATTCGACATTTCTTTTGAATCAAGATAAATGTTTGAATATTTGATAATCAATGTTTGAATCAATGTTACATGAGGTCTAAGACCAGAACTCGAGCTTCCAACTTTGCGCAGCCAGCAACAATTGCGCTTTCAATTGATTTTACTTTAGACTAAGCCTCTCTGTTTTTACCCATTATTAAAGACAATTCAAAAACTTGTGTTAACAATATGCATATTTCGCTTTTCCTTCCATTTCATCATTATTTTAGGTATTACGATCCTGATACTCCTGTATGCCTGGCTCCCGATGATTGTACCCTCAAGTCGAACGTCTTCTCATCGTAAGTGCAAACTTTTGTTTTTTTTTAACCAAATCTACTTTCTGTAATGGCTCTAGATGAAGGCTGTGTAGATGATATGGTAAAAGCAAAGCTAAACGGTCAATGAAATTTCGTACCCTATCTTTGAATACGAAAAAAACCTTAGAGCTTATGTTTTGGGAAGAAATGGGAATTCATAAACAGACCTTAAGACAGTACACTTAGCCTATCCAGTGATTTTATCTTGTCAAATTGGAATTCATTGGAATGGAAAGTTTAAAAGATCGGAATCTAGACTGGCAGCTTTATTGTATTTGGAATGCAAGATGACTGAAAGCTACTAGTGTATCTGTAATTGTAACGTTAATTGTAATGCTACTTTTTCGAGTAATCAGATATGCTGATCACGAAAAT